TGGACTCACAGATATACGGTCTATTAGATGTTTCTACACTTGGACTAATTCTTTGGTTTGGAGCAAGATTGAGAGCAATGGTAAATGATACATGGGTAAAAGAGGGATTTCATTGCCTAAAGGATTTTCTGCCCTTGGGATGTTTATCCAATCACTCACCTTGTATTATTTTCATTCTTGAACATGATGGGAGCAAAACGTTTAGGTTCTTCAACATGTGGATTAGTTATTATGAATTTTGAGACGTTGTGCAAATAGGTTGGAATCAACAGTTACTAGAGACAAAACAATTCATACTTCACAAGAAATTGCTAAATCTTAAAAGACCTTTGAGAAAGCTATATGAGAAGCAGTTTAGGCACATTTCTAGAAGAGCCAAGGTAGCAAAAGAGATCTAAAAGTAGCTCAACTTGAACTACATGATCAGCCATCCAACACTAATTTGCAATGCAAGGATACACGATTAAAAAAGGAAGCCATAAGTATATATGAAGCCGAAAGAGGCTTCTATTTTCAAAAGCTAAGTGTTCTTAAAAAGTACCGATAAGTGTACCAATTCTTTCATTCGATAGTCAAAACACAAAGATGAACTATAGTGCATCCATAATAAAGGAAGACGGGACACCAACCACTTCTCAAAATCAGGTTGCCGAGGAATTCACCCGTTTTTATGAAGCATTGTTGGATACAGCCTGCCAAACCAAACCTATTAATTCGGCCATAATAAGGATAGGGGTTGGGATATCTTTGGAACACTCATCAGCCCTAGTTAAAGATATTTCGAAACAGGAGATAAAAGAAGTACTCTTTGGTATTGGAGATGATAAATCGCAAGGGTCGAATGGTTACACATCACGTTTTTTCAAGAAGTCTTAGGAGACTGTTGGAAATTATTTCATGGGCAATTGAAGAGTCTTTTTCTTTAAAATCTCTCCTAAAGCAAACAAATTATACAATAATTGCTTTGGTACCTAAGTGCCACGCGATTTATGCAACGTGATTTCAACCGCAAGTGTATGGTGTCAAATTTTGTAATATAGTTTTGAAATAAGAGTGTCAAACCCTCAGGGATTGTAATTTAATTTCACTAAATACTATAATTATACAAATTTTTACTTTATTTAGATAAATGTATGATTGAATGACGGAATGTTTTATGAATGAATGATACAACTAATTTAACATGATTGGATGCGATAAATTGGAGAATGCAAATTATCAAATGAAAAAGACTAGGGATTGATTTCACCTAACTCAATTATGATTCAACGATTTCCAATTATTTCGATTAATTTTTCCATATTTAAAAGCAAGAATCCTAATGTATTTCTTACCCCCTCTTTCGAGCATTGACTAGAAATTAACCCTAGATCCCAATCCAACATCTCTGTTCGAAATTGAAAATCAAGAATTTAATAAAGACCCAATTCTTTTGTGGAGTAAACCTCATAGATTTATTCTCTCTCATAACCTATAAAAGCCTATGTTGTATCAATCTTATGATTACGCCTAAATTCTCTCTCTCTCTCTCTCTCTCTCTCTCTCTCTCTCTCGCATGGGAATTGACTAGCATCAAATCATCCAATTGTTGATCAGGCAATTGAAAGTATTAAAATTGTGATACAATGAAATTTATGCGGGAAATCAAACGAAATAATTATAAAATTCATCTAACCATAATATCGAGTTCGGCTACATCAACCCTAGTTAATTTGTTTAACACATAATATAACCCATGAAATTCGTACAAATTATGATAAAGAACATAAAGGATAAAGAAAAGAAAATGAACTCTTTTGAAGTGTAATCGATTCTTCCCTTAGTCTTCACGCCTCTCCATTAATTTCTTCCTATTTTCGTTGAGCTGCTTCTTCAAATATTGGGTTTCCGATTTTCCACCTTTTGACTGTCTCCAACCGTCCAATTTATTCTTCTTCAAAATTATATATTGACCGGCTAAATTCCTTTTTTCCCTTGGTGCTGTCAACTGAAATCCCTCTCCAAAATCTGGTTATGTATTTCGTGGCTCCCCTCAGATTCTCCAGAAAAATCCAAAAATTTTGGGCGGCTGCCCTTTTTGTTGTTCTCTCCTATGTTCTGCCGCTCCAACCACCTTAATTAGGTATTCTTGATGGTATTTATATTGTCTTGGAGTTCTAGCCAGTTAGGAGACGAAGTGGGCCTAGAAAATAGAGTCCAGAATTTCAAAATTTCTTTCGCAAGCCGGCATCTCGGCACCGAGATTGGGCGCTGCGGCGCCAAATTTTCTGCTTCCTTTGTGTTTCAATCAGGTGCTGCGGCGCCTGGGTTTCTATTTCTTCTGCATTTTTTTTCTTTTTTCTTTTTTCTTCTTTGCTTCTTCAATTCTTGGCTCTTTCTATGTTTCTCATTTTCTTTGCTTCTTTGTCACTTGCTTTCACCTCTTTATCCAATCTGCAAAACAACATGAGACTCAAATGTTTAAGACGCCCAAAATTTGTTAGAGTTAACTAAATAGCAGCTAAATGGCATTGATATATTGAGTGAAACATTACTCATCAAATACCCCCAAACTAACTATTTTGCTAGTCCTCGAGCAAAAAACCAAACCAATGAAACTCATTAACAAGCACAATTAAAGCACACAAGATCACTTAAAAACAATTTTTGCCTGATACCTTGCCTTCATAGCTCAAGCATAAAAACACGACATCGATTTCACGAATTTCTTCAAAGTTATAACGTACAAGCTAAAATCCTCACATATTCAATGCAAAAATGTGTGTGTGTGTGTGTAGAGAGAGAGAGAGAGAGAGAGAGAGAGAGAGTTAAGTGCAACACTGTACAATAATAAGTTGATCCAATTCTCGACCTTACAAGTCAAATTTTTCCTTACTTTGCTCGTGAGATTCACACACCCCAAACTTGTTTTCTTTTCACTTCCGAATGTGTATTCTAAAATTGATTTTCAATACTAATCTCTTACACCACTCAAGTTTGGTTACATTTTACCGATTACAGTTCAACATGTCAACAAACGAAGATTCTCCTTATTTTTGACTGCTTTAACCTCTAAGAATCAACCAAATTACTAACCCCTTATCAAAGGTCTAATCCTCTAAAACACGTGTTCAGGGCTTAATCAAAGCATTTGATATCCATTTTTTCGTAAGATATAAATTTATTTTTTAATCACTCTTTGTGCCGACGTCTCTCCTTTAAACTTTTTAAATGACACCTGTAGTGAGTTTTATGCCAATAACTCTCAAATCAGATGCCTTTAGGGTACTAGGTTTTAAATCCTTACATGCTTAATCACTTGAGTCATAAAGGCTACGATGAGACGATTTACAATGAGATTATTAAAGTTGTCCTCGTTGGGATTTTTTTTTTTATTTTTTTTACAATGATTAGTGTAATAACCCTTATCAAACAACTATTGTTGAAAATTGACCTCTAACTTAAAGTTTTTACCCAATTTTCATCCTATTAGTCTCAGACAGTTCACACAAAAAATTAGCACATACGAAATCCACATTAATCTCCAAGTTTTCCTACAATAGTGCAATCGTCCAAACATCATATGTTTGGTTTAATGGTATAATGATGTTTATGGCTATTTGGGTTTAGCATCTAATTTTTCTAATCCAACCTATAAACGTGAATTAACCCACTCATGCACAATGCTACAATCAACTCACGTGCATAAATAATTTTCGTTTCACACGAATAATCAAAAATCTAGATCAAGCACATAACTTATCCACAATTCATAAATCAACACATGTTCTCAATTACACGTATCAATGCTGGCAAGGCTATCTAACTCACACAAGCATGCAAAACAATAAAAAAAATTTGTTTTTTTTTTGTTTTTTAACAATGCACACAATTCAAATTTTTTTCACACAAATCACAGAAAATAAAAAAATAAAAAAGGGCAATTCTAAACAATCTATAAAGCACTCCCCAAACTTAAACTAAACATTATCCCCCCAATGTTAAATTAAAAGAAAATAAGGAGGGTTTTCCTGAATTGTCTAAATTGCCAATGACAGCTTGGTGTTCTGATGTTGAATTTGATGGACGCTTCTTCTCGTTTTTCCCTCAAACTTGAGATTTATCCAGCTTCTCCTTGTTAATGTTGGTTTGATTGTTCCGTGATGTCATGTTCCTGAAAATTCAAAATGTAGATATTAAACTTATGGAACAAGTGTTACTTAACTCGAACATTAGCAACCAACTTGATTATTCAAAGACCTAAGGGGGACGGGGTAGGGCTAATGAATTCCTAAATAAAAAAAAAAATTTGAAATAAAATAAGCTATCCTATAATTTAAAAGAAATAAAATAAAACAAGTGAAAAGGTAAGAACACTTAGGTTGCCTCCCAAGAAGCGCTTCTTTATAGTTACTAACTTGACTCAACCACAATGCCTACGGTAGATCCTCAGGTGGCACATTTCTCTTATTTCTAAACTTTACTCTCAGCTTTGTATTCTCCTTCATTGTAAGATGGCAAACAAAATTAGGCGATTTTAACCCTGGTATAGCCTTCAAGACCTCTTTTAGTTTGACAATGTTTAGAGGTTTCAAAGGCCTATCCACATAGCTCTCTTTTTTATTAGGTGGGTTAGCTTCTTAGGCTAAGATGAAATCCACCGCCTTCTTGGTTCCTGAGTCATTTCCATCAATAGATGCATCCCTTGCTGAGTAACTAATTGCCATGTATTGCACTAACAGATCGTGACATAATTCCCCTTTTCCTCTGTTTCATGCAATTACTTCAGCAAATTGGATCATTTTGCAAGTGTCAACTTTTCCCTTTTCTGGAGCTTTCTTTTCTTGATGGATGTTGAAATTTACTTGCTCTTCATTAACACGTAGTGTCAACTTCCCTTCTTACACATCAATCAATACTCTTCCAGTAGCCAAAAAGGTTGACCAAGAATCAACAGTACTTTCTCATCCTCTCCATGTCCAACACCACAAAGTTCTCCGGAAAGATAAACTTATCAACCTTCACCAACACATCTTCAATAATGCCCTTGGAATATGTGATTGACCTATCCGCCAGTTGCAAGGTAAGGGTGTGGATTTCACTTCTCCAAGACCCAGCTTTTTGAACACTGATAGGGGCATCAGATTTATGCTAGCTCCAAGGTCACACATTGCCCTATCAAATGTGATACCACCAATATTGCACTGGATGTTGAAGCGACCCAGATCTTTCAATTTGTGAGGGAGCTTCATCTGAAGTATGGCACTACACTCCTCTGTCAGCTTAACAATCTCAAACTCCTCCAACTTTTTCTTCTTTGACATCACGTTATTTAAGAACTTGGTATAGTCAGGTATTTGTGCCAAGGATTCTGCAAAGGGAATGTTGATGTGAATTTTCTTGAAGACCTCCAAAAACTTTGTGAATTTCTCATCAAACTCCTTCTTCAAATACCTATACGGGAATGGTAGTGGAGTTTCAAAATAGGTGGGTTGTACGAAAATAAAATTGAGTAAGACTTATAAATCTTGTTCGTTGTCTCCACCTCACTTTTCTACCCTTCAGTCTGCTTTTCCTCTACAAATATGGGATCTCTAGGCTTGCGGTCTTCAACTACTTTACCACTCCTTAAGACGATAGCATTGAAGTGTTCCCTTGGGTTAACCTCCGTGTCATTGGGAAATTTTCCTTTCTATTAGGACTGTATCGCAATTGCCATCTGACCAATTTGTACCTCCAAATTCTTCACTATAGCCCCCCCCCCAAGTTGGTCATATGAGTCTCAATGTTGTCAACTCGTGCCTCATCTTTGTTGAACCTCGATCTGGTCTCCGAAATGAATGTTCCTAAAATATCTTCCAGTGATTGCTTTCGCTCAGACGCTTGATTATTGAACCCCTAATAGTAGTTGTTTCCTGAGTAGTTTCTCTTTTAATTGAAGTTCCGATCGTTCACATACTGAAGTTGTTCATTCTCTTTTTCAGCTTTCTAGTATGCAGTGTATGTAGCCAAAATAGATTCTGATTTTTTTTTTTTGGCAATCCATGTGAAGTCAATGTAGCTATTTGATTATTGAGAGATGACATTTGAGCTGCAAAGGCCGTAATAGGATTCACCTCATAAAGGCCAGCAACTTTCTTTGCACTTAAACACTCACTCGGCCATTGATAGCTATTAGTAGCTATCCCATCCATTTATTTGCAACCAATCCGAATAACCATGCCGAGGACATCTTTTGAATAGATCTTTATAACTCTTCTATGCCTCATAGAACTGTTCAAAGTCTGACTGTCGAAATTGCCCAATTTCACCCTACAATTACGCTGCCTTTGAAGGTGGAAAGAATTTTGTAAAAAACTTCTGTGCTAACCCCTCCCAAGTTGTAATGGATCCATACGATAATGATTGGAACCATGCTTTGGCTTTGTCTCTTAAGGAAAAGGAAAATAGACAGAGTTTGATTGCATCTTCAGTAATGTCATTCATTTTCACTGTATCACAGATCTTCAAAAAGGACCCTAGATGTGCATTTGGGTCTTCTGTTGGAGCTCCCCCAAACTGATTATGCTGCACCATGTGTACAAGTCCTGGTTTCAATTCAAAGTTGTTAGTAGCAATAGCTGGACGTGCAATACCAGAGTAATTTTTGTTGACAACTTTTCTGATGTAGTCCCTTATAGCCCGTTGTTGACCATTCTAATCGTTCTAATTCACTATTGGTCGATCTTGTTTGGCCATTACTTCACGGTTGTATCTCTGAATATCCCTTAGAAATTTGAAGGTTCGTTCTGGTTCAGGATCAACAGGTAGTAGTCCAACGCTCCTCGCTTTTCGCATAAACCTGAAGCAGGCGTCGCAAAACAATTAAAAAGAAAAAAAATCTAAATTAAAATAGAAATTACTTGGTAACAATATTGGTAAAAATTAAATTATACAATCCTCAACAATGGCGTCAAAAACTTGTCATGTGATTTATGTAACGTGATTTTAACCGCAAGTGTACGGTGTTAAATTTTGTAATATAGTTTTGAAGTAAGAGTGTCGAACCCACATGGATTGTAATTTAATTTCACTGAGTACTATAATTATACAAATTTCTACTTTATTTAGATGAATATAAGATTGAATGATGGAATGTTTTATGAATGAATGATACAACTAATTTAACATGATTGGATGCGATAAATTGGAGAATACAAATTATCAAATGAGAAAGCCTAGGGATTGATTTCACCTAACTCAATTATGATTCAACGATTTCCAATTATTCCGATTAATTTTCCCATATTTAAAAGTAAGAATCCTAATGTATTTCTCACCCCCTCTCTCGAGCGCCGGCTAGAAATTAACCATAGATTCCAATTTCAACATCTCTATTCGAAATTGAAAATCAAGAATTTAATAAGGACCCGATTTTTTTGTGGAGTAAGCCTCAAATTTATACTTTCTCTCAAAACCTATAAAACATATGTTGTATCAATCTTATGATCACGTCTAAATTCTTCCTCTCTCGAGCGCGGGAATTGACTAGCATCAAATCATCTAATCGTTGATCATGTAATTGAAAGTATTAAAATCATGATAGAATTAAATATATGCGGGAAATCAAATGAAATAATTATGAAATTCATCAAACCATAATATAGAGTTCAGCTACATCAACCCTAGTTAATTTGTTTAACACATAATATAACCCATGAAATTCATACAAATTATGATAAAGAACATAAAGGATAAAGAATAGGAAAGGAACTCTTTTGAAGTGTATTTGATTCTTCCCTTAGTCTTCACGCCTCTCCATTAATTTCTTCCTATTTTGGTTGAGTTGCTTATTCAAATATTGGGTTTCCAGCTATCCACCTTTTGACTGTCTCTAACTGTCCAGTTTGTTCTTTTTCAAGATTGTATATTGGTCGATTGAGTTCTTTTTTTTCCTTGGTGCTATCGACTGAAATCCCTCTTCAAAATCTAGTTATGTATTTCGCGGCTCCCCTCAGATTCTCCAGAAAAATCCAAAAATTTTTGGCGGCTGCCTTTTTTGTTGTTCTCTCCTATGGTCTGCCCTTAATTTGGTATTCTTGATGGTATTTATATTGTCTTGGAGTTCTGGCCGGTTAGGAGACGAAGTGGGCCTAGAAAATCGAGTCCAAAATTTCAAAATTTCTCTCACAAGCTAGCGTCTCGACACCTATATTGGGCACTACAACGCCAAATTTTCTGCTTCCTTTGTGCTTCAATCGAGCGTTATGGCGCCCAGATTGGGCGCTACGGCGCCTAGGTTTCTATTTCTTCTGCATTTTTTTTTTCTTTTTTCTTCTTTGCTTCTTCAATTCTTTGCTCTTTCCATGTTCCTCATTTATTTTTTGCTTCTTTGTCACTTGTTTTCACCACTTTATCCAACCTACAAAACAACATGAGACTCACATGTTTAAGACGCCCAAAATTCGTAAGAGTTAACTAAATAGCAGCTAAATGGCATTGATATATTGAGTGAAACATCACTCATCACTAAGTCTAACCGCTCATCTTCCATTGGAGACTTTAGACCTATTACATTTTACAATGTGTTCTATAAAATTATCACAAAAATTCTTGCTAATAGATTGGGCCCATTACTTGAGACTATTGTTAACCATGCACAAGTTGCTTTTGTAGCGGGATGAAGTATGATGGAAAACATCTATCTTGTATTAGTGCTCTTGCGATAATATAACTGTAAGTCTGTTGCTGCTAGATGCTTTATCATGATTGATCTTAGAAAGCCATATGATTTGGTAAGTTGGGATTTCCTTAAAGGTATACTTGACGGGCTGGATTTTCTTCCCAAATTTATTGATTGGGTAATGAAATGCACCACAATACCTTCTTGCTCCATTGCATTAAACGGTAGCTTACATGCTTTCATAAAAATAGTAGAAAGGGACTTCGACAAAGTGATTCTCCATCTCCCTTTTTGTTTGTGTTGTGCTTTGAGTATCTCTCTTGAATGTTAAAGGTTGCAATGGATAATATCGTGTTTAATTATAGCATCCACGGATGACTCAATGTTTTTTATAAGAGGTCATCTTATATCGGTTTGTATCTTAATGGTTTGCTTGTCCAGGTTTGGTAATATATTAGGACTTACGATGAACACCATGAAATCGAAGTTATATATATTCATGGTTATGAGTTGGATGAAATTCAAGAGTTGATGAACATTTCGAATAGAACAATTCTAATTCACTATTTGGGTGTCCAGCTTGCAGCCGTAAAGTTGAAAGTCAGCTACTTTGCCCCTTTTCTAGATAAGATGTCAGCTTACATTAGTGCTTAGAGAGCATCTTCACTCTCCTATGCTGGTAAGGCATAGATAATACGGGATGTATTTCAAGGTGTTGAATGTTTTTTATTGTCTATCTTTCCGATTCCAGACATAGTCAAGGTCATTAGGCTTTGTTAGAAATTCCTTTGGGGATCCAAGAAGCCATTGATAGCTTGGAAAAATGTATGTTTATCGAAAACGGAGGGCGGACTTGGTTTATAGATATAAAATGCTGGAATTCAGCATTACTAGCTAAGTTTTTATGGAACATTCATGTAGAGAAAGATACACTTTGGGTTCGATGGGTAAACCATGTCTACCTACGGGAAGCATCTATATGGGAGTTTTCGACCAAAAAAGGTGACTCCCCACTTCTCAAAGTTTTGCTTACAACGAGGGATAGTACTGTGCGTATTGCTAGGAATGGTCAAAACGCATTGGACGTAATGTAAAGCTGAAATTCTGGGCATTGTTTTAGCACCTTAAACGAGCATATGTATACTTCAGGCCGAAAGGGAAATGTAGGCATGGGCAGGTGATGTTTGGAGTTCCTTTATCACTCCAAAACGCTCGTTCATTCTATGGTTAAGTGCCTAAGCGAAGCTCCTTACTAAGGATAAGTTGATGCACCTAAATATTGACGAAACTTGTGCTCTATGTAAAGCGTTGGCTGGAATGGTTCAACACCTATTTTTTCGGTGTTCAGTGAGCTACATCATTTGGAGGCAAATCAAATCTTAGCTCAGCATTACTCGTTCAATATCTACAATTGGATGTGCATTAAAGTGGATTAAAAAGGAAGCCCCAAAGGACATCTTAGCATAGTAAGGTGAAGAGAATTGCTCTTGCAAGCACGATCTACTAAATAAGGATGGCAAAGAATAGCAAGATAATTTAAAATCTCAAGCTACACTCTGATAGCACAGTAAGACAGATCAAAACACATATACAAAATTATGTTTGCTTTGAATCCTCATATTTTAGCCCATTTGAGTTTCTAGCGTTAGATCTTTAGATCTCATCGTTTATACATCTTATGTTTTTTTTTTTGCCCAATTATGCCCGATGTATTTGTACATGAATTTTTATCAATAGAATATTTATATTTACCGATAAAAGAAAAGATTTAGGGGTTAAGTTTTTAGTGAGTTTTCCTGTGGGCCCATTCATCTTCCATCTGGACCATTTAGACATTTTATGATTTTAAAATCAACTACTTAAGATTATAAGTGAGTTTATTATCCATTCGCAATTCACAACTTGAAGTTTGTGAGAAATACTAAAATATTTCGGATGAAAACAAAATTTCGTGTTTTTGTATAGTGACATCGTAATGACCCAAATTATATATATTCAAGTCGCTATCAAAAAAATTCTTAGTTTTCTAGCACATAATATAAAGACATGTCATGCAATTTGACCCAAGTTACTCACTGTGTTCTAAGAAAAATTGTCAAGCAAACAAAATAGTTCAATTTGGAGATATAGATAGTAGTAAATACATAAAAAGTAATGAAAAATCACTAAGGATCAGTTTGATTGCAATAATGGAACTTGGGTGGAAAGAAAACGAATACTAGGGAATTGAATTGTCTATAACTTGTTTTACTAGGAATTGTCAATTAAATGTGTTTGGTTTGTATAATTTTTCACCTAAAAAAGTTGAAATTTCTTTTGGCTTTTTTTTCATGAAAATTGTCAATTAAAGTGATATAATTTATTTACATTGCAAAAAAAAAAAAAAAAAAAAAAAGGA